CAAGAACAGGAGCCGGGTCAGGAGAAGATTTATACCACTCAGTTTTCGTACACATTTTTCCAGACCTGCACTCATAGAGGAAGCAGAGGTGAAGGTGGAGACCTATAATCTCGCCAGCAAGTGCGTTTAGATGCTGTCACGGATGACACGGCGAGCGATCGCAACGCGTCTGTTTAAAATCAGGATCGCTCTGTTGTTCTAGTTGTACCGGTACCGTGCCCCATTGCAGAGCGCGTTTCAAACGTACTGCACGAGCACAAGATAGCAGGAGACCACAAAGGCAAACGCAATTCTGAAATGCCTGCCCGAGTTTGGGGAATAGAAATGATAAGCTGCGGATGAAAAACCGAGGAGCGAAAGAAGGGTGTAAAAGCTCATCGATGGCGGACGAAGAATGAACCTCTTTAAAAACAGTCAGTGTGTAGTAAAGGTTTCCAATTTGCCCCGATTAAATTGCCAGCGTGGGGAGCGAATAGGTGGCGATATATGAAGGGGAAGTAAAGAATGATTGGAAATGATCACTGTCCATGTAGTCCGGGAGAACAGACCAAGTAAAGTCCTAATGCGTCGGAGAAGAGCAAACTGAGAGATACGAATGCAAGAGAGAAGAGAGTGTGTACATGAGTCCCGAGGATCAAAATGGTGTTGAGATTACCTGTATTTAAAACATGTGAGGGGGTTTGTGGAGCAAGAAAAAGCCTCTAACTGAATTTCCCACGGGAATCACAGAGAGACCCTCCCCCAGAGGCAATGGTGGGCATTAAATCACCAAGATAACAGAATCGGTGGCGGTAATATACAGAAACAAGGAAGGGCAAAAATCCTGAATAGATAAAGCCCGAGAAGGTAGAGAGATATAAAGAACAGAGCGTATACCACCTATGAAAGTTGAGTACTGGCTCTGGTAATGCATGCGAAGTAAGAACAAATACGATGGAACGGAAATATCAGTGCGGGGGAGAAGAAGGGCTACTTTCATTAAAGTGTCCCCATCAGGAAAAGATCTGACGAATACAATTAAATTAAAGCCTGAGATTTGAGAAATAACAGCAGAGTGAAATTTTGGTTTCCTGTAAGCCAAACCCCACAGGGAGGCACAGTTTATCAGGAGAGTAACATCTTAAGCACACCCCCTATAACCCCCTGACCGCGTAAAATCCGACAGTAAAAAGGTAGCCATGATTGGCAATGATGAAAGATACGTGAAATCCGCAGGTAAGGGTTCCTACGGACAAGTAAGGGTATAGGAAAAGGTCCACCATGCGGAGGCAGTGGAAAATGATTCAAGCAGCGAAAGGAACGGTGCGCTGTGAAGAAAGGATTTGCGCAAGATGAGCAAGGATAGAGGAAGAGCGAAGGTGGATCAGTGTCCATTGATGGTTTGGTCCACTGTCAAAATATCAGAGATTGCTTCAAGGTGATTCGGAATCAGAGATTCTTATGGGAGGACCATATTGGAAATGGTAGGGGGGAGATGAGTAAAAGATTGGAATCTGTAATGGACTGTACCAAGGGTAGGGGGGGTGGGGGCTAAATGGTGTAGGGAACTGGAGGAAGCGAGCAGGGGAACAGAAGAGACAGGAACCTGGGAGAGTGGCCAGAAGAGGAAGAAATTTGGGAGGGAACAGGGGAGGAAGGTACAATTACGAGGAGGAGGGTGAACCTCCCTGCACTTGTAACTGAGCCAGTGAGCGGGGAAGAACTAGGACAGAGACAGGAGGGAAAATGGGAGGTTGAAGATGGGTAGGATGTGATACCGGACCTTTTTATGACTATTGAGAAGTAGAGGGTCGATGGGAAGTAGGAGTCGAACGAGGGTCCCGCGATACTGAGGCTTGTAAGAGAGAACTCGAAGAAGCGAGCAGATTAGAACTGAGGCGTTGAAGTATGGGACGTCTGAGCCGAGGACAAGCAAAAGGTTAGATACAGAATGATTATGGGAGAGGTAACCACAGAGGTGGGTGGTAGAAGATGGGATACCAGACGTGGGGGGGGAGGACGTTATTGAAACACGGGAATAAGAACCACATGTGGTCTCCCTTGGAGTCGGGAGAAGAGAAACTGCCATGGCATAAAGGAGACCTTCCTGTCTCTTTGATGTAACGGATTTCCTTTCCCGCTCGTTTAAATAGAACCTGACAGACGGCGAGAGTACGAAGGGAGAGCCTCATGTGACAGTTAAGGCAAAGGGAGATCGATATGCAAAGACGAAATTAGAATGGTCATTCGGCACCACAGACTTTGCTTTTTCGGCGATAATCTGCAATATGTTTCGCTGGATGGCCAAATCGCCAGCCAATTTCTTACACTGTTGTGGTGTAGGGTATCACCTTTCGAACTTGTAAGCCTGATTCCTGCTATAAAAACTGAGATGGGAGTTCTCGGCTGTCAAAAGTTAAAACAGCCACACATTGCTAGGGTAACGTTAGCCGCCCACATGGGCAGGAAGAACTTAAGTGTCCTACCTTGAGGATTGGGAGATCTTGGAGTTTCCAGGCTGTTCAGAATGTCGGAGCCACAAGTCTGGAAATTTTGTTGAACTATGATAATGGGTGCAGAAAACGGTTACCACTACAAGAATTGAGGGACTGATGTTTTTTCCAAGGGTGACAGAACAGTAACTAAATGGACGACGCGAGAGGCTACACTCGTCCAGTGTTAGCATTCTATGACGTGAAAAGTATTGCGCGTAACCGCTCTTAAAGCGCAGTTAAAAAAATATCTCCTTTACCCAACAATGTCTGTAGTTAGTGCCTTGCCAATACTATGGTCAGAAAGATAGGCAGTAAGAGGAAGTAGTTCGTAAAGTGAAGAATTTAGTCCAACTGTTACAGTCCTGACTCTGAGCGAGGAAAGGTAGTGAGACTGTCGATCGTTTCTGAGAATAACGAGAATGTGAAGGTGGAGAAGTAACATCAGCAGTTAATTTGTCGTTGACGTTTAGGGCGTGGGACCAGAGTTGGTCCGACGTGGAACGGGTTTCGGCGATTTTGAAAAATTGCCGCACCGTAGAGGGAGAGGGCCGGAAGCATAGTCTGAGGAGAGCGAAGGACTGATAAATCGAGGAGTCAGTACGAGCCTCATACATGAAGCGGGTGAGGAAACAGCACCGCAATAGAGTAACAGAGGCAAGAAGGAATGTCCCTGAAGAGTGGTCCAAAGACGAGGCGGGGTTCAGAACGGGTGCGTTACAAGAGGGCCCCGGGGGGCCAGGTTCATGGACTAGGTAGCCTGCCATGGTTAGGTTACTTCTTTCTTTTTGTTTTTAAGAAAAAAAAAAAAAGAAAAAGAAGAAAAAGAAAATAAGAAATAAAAAAAAAAAAAAAAATGGGTACCGTGAGTGATAGTTCCTAGGAGGGATGAAAGGGCTAGAAACTCCCGCCGTGCCCAAGAGGACTTGACACCGCATAGCGCAGAGCATGCAAGGAACCCGTGCCAATACCCACCCTTCATGCCAGTAACCCACAATCTGGGATAGCACCTCACATCTGCCGAGCTACCTCGGTGGACATAAGAGAGGGCGGCCGGATATCCGCCCACAAAGCATACTCCCTTCAGTCAAGCCACCACCCCCGGAATCCTAAAGGTGTCTTCCAGACTACACCCGTCGCCCAAATACACCCAAAGCTACTCCGGGAAACCGGAGAGGGACGGGACATCCCTAGGCAATCATGATTCCGTCAAAACTACGCCACCCCGTCCAAGAAAACCTCAACGAAATGGGATGGACCCCGGTGTCCTTTCTCCTACCTAGGAACTAGCGCGCCTGTGGGAGAAATCCCAAAGGACAAAAAGAGGAAGGGCACAAGGGAGGATGGTAGGGAGGGAGGAAAGGAAAAAGGGGAGGATGGGGAGGATGGGATAGGGGAGGGGAGATTGGGGGGTAATTAGGTTCGGTCTGAGGAAGAAGACCAATAGGTCTAATTCCTCAGACCAAGAGCCTCTTCACCACGCCAAGGAGCCCCCCTTGAAGAGGCCAATAAAAATAAGTTACACTTTTTTACAATACTGGGTTATCTTAGGTTAAATCTACATAATGTTAGGTTAGGTAAGATTGGTCAGGAAACAGGACAGGTGTTTCCTGACGCGGGTCTTAGTTTAGTCATATGGCGAATCACATCTGGAGCTTTTAGTCATCTGATTGAGGCCTTCCGCTGGTTTACCCGTCCACCCCCCCCTTTAAAAATTATGGTTATGATTATAACGCAGTGTTGTTATTGCTGAATACCACTCGTTCGTGGGTACAATAATATATATATATATATATATATTATATATTTTATATATATATATATAATATATATATATATAATATATATATATATATATATATATATATATATATATATATATATTTTATATATATATATATATATATATACATATGTATATGTTATTTCTACCATACATTTACAATAATTGAAAAGAGGTGATAATATTGACATACTGTTTGTGTGTCATTAACATCTGTTTGCTCTGAAGATCAATGTATTTTTATGTAGAATATTATGTATTCTACATAAAATCTACATTAAATCTTTCCATACCAAAAAAATATATTCTTGTACGCCAGGAAGTGGTTGATGGAAGAATGAGCGCTGGCAAGGGGTTGGCGTCTCCGAATCAGCTGACGCGACGAAAACACTTGTCTGAGCCTTGTATTGAAGAGTTTTCTTGAATGTAACTACTAAACACTGCTATCAAGCTTAAGCTTGAATATAATGTAAAATTTATCTATAAATTATTTTTTATTTCCATAGTTTTTTTTATCGTATATTGTGTATCTCAAACATAAATAAGAATGTTAAATAGACAGTCAAGCGAAGCCTTGCAAATTCAGGATGCAGTGGCAGGAACATAAAAAAAATAAACAAATGTAATTACTAAATAACTTTATAAAAAATGACTCTGTTTTTAATAAGTAACATAATATTAATCAGCATAAATGTTGCGACAAAGTTATTCATATTCTACCATGTTTGGCGGTTGCGCCGTGAGCGCAACCTGTCAGTTGTTTGTGAGTCAGTAGGGAGGGCGGTCGTTCCTTCGTCTCTCGTGGATATTCTACCACATTTGTTAAAAATCACCTTACTTAATTAACTGTATTCAATAATGAGAGTATAGTGACTGTGCCCAAAGTAGTCACAATGAAACCCTACATGTTAAAACTGCCCAAGGGAAGCACACTTGTAATATTGTTCTGTTTTGTCGGGCTGATATGTGGAGTTGTTCCCACAACGGCACCAAGTACCAAATACCAACTCACAGACAAAGGTAAGATGACACTTTTACTAAACACAACTCAAAGACAATCGAAGAAAGTTAGCAGCGTTGGTGTGGACTTATTTTTAAATTTTCAAATTTAATGTGAATTTAGACGAGTTCCACTATCAGGGACCCAGTGGAAATATATAACACTGACTTTACAGGGTTATCCTACGGTAATTTCTACATATTATCTGCGTGCCCTCAAAAATATTGTAAATTTGTTGTATGATATGCATGGAAAGCTGTATAAAAACTTGTTTCAGAAATTTTAGTATGCGAGAAATAATCTTTATTTCGAGAATATATGTATTAACCTCTGGAGGGTTAATAATCCAGAATAACCCCCCAAAAGTATCCAGTAGTGTTTTATATTCATGGGGTCGTAGGTCCTTCACTAGGATGACACCTACAATAGTTGACTAGTTTCTAGGTACTTGTTTACTGCTAGGTGAACAGGGACAGCAGGTAATAAAAGACTGGCCCATACGTCTCGCTTTCCTTAGGATTGAATTTACATCCTTCTGTGAGTCACTTTCAAGGAAAGTCTTTTGATGTCAGTAAAGGGTGTTTGATCCAAGGGAATGGTGCAAACTTCCCCTTCCTTTCATCGAATCTAATTGCTTCCCATTATCCAAGCATTGTATGGTCCCTATGGTTTATCGCTTCCCATATGACTGTAATAAAGGTATTCAGATTCTAATGCGCTACCACTGTGCTACGACGTATCTAATCAAACTTGAATTGGGCACTTGAACCCCTTACCTGAGGTGCCTTGAATCAAGCTGGTGAGAAACTCCTGATCGAATGATTTGGACCTATCTTCCCCTACCTTTGTTTGAAACTGACTGCCTCCCATTCCTCAGTCACTGTATGCATCATACTGTAAGGAATAGTGTATATTTATAGTGTAGGAGAACCAGTGCAAATATGCGCTAACTTTCATGTGCTATATATTGAAGCAATGCCCCCATTGTTGCTAGCTGCTTGACCAAAACGGTCTATAAAATTAACAAATCTTTAATATTTGTACAAGGCACACATGGTGAGGGGCTCTTGATCTAGGGAATTGGATCTGTGCTCCAGTTGGATCTGTGCTCCAGTTCCCTGAATTAAGCCTGAATGCCTTCCATCCCCCCATAGGCGCTGTATAATCCTACGGGTTTAGTGCTTCCCCCTTGATTATAATAATAATAATAATAATAATAATGTACAAGGCACATGAAAGCAGCGGCTTTGTGCGATATTAACACAGAATATAGAGGCGTAATGCCGACAGGTATTACCAAGTGAGATATAGCTCTTTATATTTTGATATTTTAATGTGAGGTGGAAGTGCTGGACTTGGATTGGAATATCAGATTACGGTAATTTGTAATATTGTGTACTTGTAAATATCTTGTGTATCATGATAGCCAGGATGTACTATGTGAATATGTTGCCAATACAATATACATCGTTTATTATATAATTTGAGTCATTTGATTTTTATATAAAACAAGCGGATGAAGAGTGTAAACGAAGTAGAGATAATTGGCAAGAGAATTTGGACAGACTACAAAAATGGTATAAAAAATTTGTCGTAAAGATGGGGTCTAGGGAAAGGAGTCCAAAAATTTGGAATAAACTTCAAAGAAAACAGCTCCAGACATAGGACAAAGTAAAAAACTTAATGCTGATGTCGCACCAAACATATCTGGAAGCGCGCACACGTACAAAAAAAAAAAAATCGTATCGGTTGTATATGCAAGGTTGATGAACTCGAAAAGTATCTTAAGAGATTTAAGCAAAGAAATGCACCACGACAGGCACCTAAAGTCAGTACCTGACCAGCCGGGCTGTGGTTCGTACATCGGGTTGCGTGCGGCCTACAGTAACAACCTGGTTGATCAGGCTGTTATTGGTCACAGACCGGGCCGCGGGGGCGTTGACCCCCCCTGAAACCCTCTCCAGATATACGACGCTATGCAATTATGTATTAGTAATTGTGTAAGCAGCATTACTGTGGAGCCCCTCACCTATTTAAGTATGAATAGAAGCTGGCAACAAGATTAGCATAACATGTTAGATAATTTAAATCCCCGATAGATCTGTCCTGCCTGACTTAGTATAAATTTGAAGCCTTTTGTACGGCTTACCCAAATCTTACGTGCCCATCTTTGATAGAATCGCTGCTTTTATATCATGTCAAACAAATATGTAACATGATAGGTAAATCTTGTATATACTGTACTTTTATTTAAGTTCAGTATATTCCAGTCTACACTTTTCTGTTAATAGTTCTTTGTGTAGGGGGGCTTGGTCGGAGGCTGGGCCTCGGCACCGGTGATCCTCGGAGTCATTAATAGATTAATGGAATCTAATACTCCATACCTAGTTTCAAACATTATGGTAAGGCAGAGTGGCTAGGCATCCACGCCGCCAGTCAAGGGGTAAGAACAAGAGTTGGATCTTAACCCCAACTAGCACAGTTTGTGGTACACTTCTGTGACTGGAAGGGCGGGTATGATAAAAAGGCATTTGAAGGAAGTATGGCTGATGGTACTTTAACAACATCCTGTTGATGTTATTCCTGATCCTAAACCAGGCCTCCTGGTTGATGGCCTGATTAGTCATCAAACAAGCTGGTTAAAATGCCTATCAAGACAGGCCTTCTGGTTGATGGCCTGATTAATCAGCAAACTTGCTGGTTATGCCTGATTAATCAGGATGTTCATGCTTGTTGCACGATATCCAACGTAGGTACCACAGCTCAAGGATAAAAGGATTAATGACCATAGGATATGGTAAGGAGGGGAGGAAAGGATGGCCAGGGCAGGACAAAGATTCTTCATGAATGACCTCAAAACTCCATAAATGTATGCCAGATTTCCGACATTACCCTAACTCCGATAGATTTCGAAAAAGCCATTGATAACATGCCCATGCACTCAGCCCCGGGCCCAGACTCGTGGAACTCTGTTTTCATTAAGAACTGCAGGAAACCCCTATCGCGTGCTCCTAATTACACTATGGAGGAGAGCTTGGACATGGGTGAAATATCCATCACTAAAAACGACAAATATAGCCCCCCATCCTCCATAAAGGTGGCAACAAAGCAATAGCTAAGGAAGCAAAATCAATAGCTCCTGACGTCCACATCATAAAAATCTTTGAAAAGGCTAGAGCAGAGATTTGCAAATCACCTGATTCCCACCAAAATCTGCACAACCCATGCAACATGGGTTCAGGGCAGGTCGCTCCTGCCTCTCACAAACTACTGGATCACTATGATATGCCTTGGATGCACTGAAAAAAATCGAATGCAGATGTAATAACACAGACTTTTCAAAAGCATTTGACAAATGCGATCATGGCCGTAATAGCCCATAAAATACGCGCTATAGGAATAACTGGGAAAGTGGGGAGATGATCTTCAACTTCCTAACAAATCGAACACAGAGTAGTGGTCAACAGATTTTAAATCGGAGGCTGCCATAGTGAAGAGCCGTTCCAAAAGGGCACAGTACTCGCCCCCATCTTATTCCTCATCCTCATAAAACATGACGCAGATTACATAAGCACCGTACACCCTTTTGCGGTGATACTAGGATTGCATGGGCTGTCATCTGCTGAGGACGCTTTAACCTCCAAAAATTTTTAAAATTTTCCCTGGGCAACGGTAAAAAAATATGAGTTCAATGAGGGAAAATTCCAAACCCCGTTATGGAAACGGAGGGGAAAACAAAAACATTCTACAGACTTGGCCATACACTAAGGGAAAAATAATTTAAAAAGGGCCCGGAGTAGTAATGTTGAGATCCATTTCAAGGATCACAACGTGCCCCGATCGCACGTGCAAAGAAAAGATAGGATGGTAATGGAATGTTCAAAAGAGAGATGCCAAGCCCAAAGAAAGATCCTTTTTAATCACTTGTTCTCTTAGGGGTGGGAAAACGCTGTACATTTAAATCCCATTCAAGCAAGTGAAATCGCAGATCAAAATGGGACAGGATCCCCTTTTCTGCACGATAAGTTCTGTCCAAAACACCTTAACTCGGGAACGCTTGGAAGCACTTGACTTGACTCGTTGGAACGCGGAGGGAGAGATGATCATAACTACACTTGAAAACCCGGAAGGAAGGTCCCCAAAACTCACACAAAATCACTCCCCACGAAAGGGAAAAAATGGGGGAGGGGTGCAAAATGCTCCCAAAAAAAAATAGGGGGCCATTGGTACCAAGGGGAAAAAAAAACCTAAATGTCGGGGCCCCAAATGTTCAACACCCCCACAAGCATTGGGGGTTGCTAAAAACCCCTGGGTGCCTCAAGAGAGTGTCAATACCTAAAAATCAGTGCCGATCACCGGGCTGTGGCCGTACGTTGGAGGTGCGGCCCCAGTAACACCCAGTTATCAGGCCCGATCCTCGGGGGGCCCTGGTCATGGCCCGGGCCCGGGGGGGCGTTGATCCCGGAAAAACCTCCATTTTAGGTTTGGGTAGAAAACGGAGTAGGTAAAGATAGTGCTCTTTCATTACATGTAAAGCAAATTTTGTGAAAAAAAGAAGAGTGGAAAGTTTAACAGGGGCAAAAAAAGGTTCGAACCCCTCTACACGTGTATAATAACTCTAACACAACAGTTTGGCTGATCAAAACAAGCAATTTCCCTTTAAGCAGGGGGGCTTTGGAAAATGTTTTTTATGCTTAAAGGGGGAATGAGAAAGAGATACGTAACGCTAGGGAAAAATAAGTTTATTAAGTTACAGGGCACAAAAAATAGTTTTAAAAATTTTCATATATGCATTTTGTAGATTACCAGGATAAAACCCCAAAAAAATTTGACTTATTTCCCTTGGGGTTCCCGTGATAACTTATTATTTAAACCCCAAAATTTAAACGGGTAACATTAAAAGCGTTTCAAAAAAGAGATATACTAGGAAAAGGGGAAAAAGAGTTATTTTTTATCAAAATTAAAGAGAGGATCAGGTATGGCTTTTGGGAAAAGTTTTGCCTGTCAACAGACTTGAGGA